TACCGTTCATCCGTCCCATGAATATTTTTCGTCGCATCTTTCTCAGGAACTACATCATAAGGATTTCTGAAATTTGGTTTCAGGGTTTATATAAGTCAGCTATATGGTGTGATGCTTTTTCAGATTCATCACTCAACAACTTCCTGTTTACCGAAAAACTTACATCATTTTACACATGACATCCAAGTTGAAAATTTTCGTTATATTTTTCTCAGGAACTACATGACAATGATTTCTGAAATTTTGTTTCGGGGTTTATAAGAGTCAACTAAACTGTGTGATGCGTTACTTTGAAACCAGTCCATCATCCAAGATGGCCGCAAGCGGGGGACTTCATTTAACATAGGACCATTTTTGAAATACATACAAATGTCTTCTTTTAGAGAACCACTGAATGGAATGAAAGCAAACATGGCATGAATGTTCCTTATGAGGTGCTGACAAAGTGTTGTTACTTTGAAGCCGATCCATCATCCAAGATGGCTGCCAGTGGGGGACTTAGTTTAACATAGGACCCTATGGGAAATACATACAAATGTCTTCTTTTAAAGAACCTCTAAATCGAATGAAATAAAACATGGCATGAATGTTCCATATGAGGTGCTGACCAAGTGTTGTAACGTTGTAGGCAATCAATCATCCAATATGGCCGCCAGTGGGGACTTAGTTTAACAAAGGACCCTATTGACAATACATACAAATGTCTTCTTTTAGAGAACCACTGAATGGAATGAAAGCAAACATGGCATGAATGTTCCTTATGAGGTGCTGATCAAGTGTTGTTACTTTGTAGCCAATCAATCATCCAAGATGGCTGCCAGCGGGAAACTTAGTTTAACAAAGGACCCTATGTGAAATACATACAAAAGTATTCTTTTGAAGAACCACAGAATGGAATGAAACCAAACATGGCATGAATATTCCTAATGAGGTGCTGACCAAGTGTTGTTACTTTGTAGCAAATCCATCTACCAAGATGGCTGCCAATGGGGGACTTAGTTTAACAAAGGACTCTATGGGAAATATTTACAAATGTCTTCTTCTAGAAAACTGCTTAATGGATTGAAACCAAACATGGTATGAATGTTTCTTTTGAGGTGCTGACCAGGTGTTGTTACTTTGTAGCTGATTTGTCATCCAAGATGGCTACCAGCAGGGGGAGTAAGTTTAACATAGGACCCTATGGGAAATACATACAAATGTATTTTTTTCTAGTGAATCACTGAATAGAATTAAACCAATCATGGCATGAATGTTCCTAATGAGGTGCTGACCAAGTGTTGTTACTTTGTAGCTGAACCATCATCCAAGATGGCACCCAGCAGGGGACTTAGTTTAACATAAGACCCTATAGGAAATACATTCAAATGCTTCTTCTAAAGGAGCACGTAATAGATTGAAACCAAACATGGCATAAATGTTCCTTATGAGGTGCTGATGAAGACCTTAATACATGTATCTTTATAGATTGAGATATACTGTAAACTTCAAAAATATCAAGAAAAGAAGATCTACACATAAGTCAACATGAGCAAATTGACATCTTGTTGGAGTTATTGTCCTTATAAAGTCATTTTCCACAATTTCAATGAATTTATTGGTAATTTCTGTAAACTTTACAAAAGTCTTCTGCTTTTGATTAAATTAAGGGGCTAATATTTAACCAACTTTGGCCTCAATCATTATTAGGGTATCTGTTATGATTTTAATCAATTTTTACATGATTTCCATAACCAAAGTAGAATCAGGTGAACGACACAGGCTTTTGAGAGCCTCTAGTTGTTAATTTTTTTTGTGCATAAATCAGGCCGCTAGTTTTCTTGTTTGAATTGTTTTATGTTTGTCACTTCAGATTTTTTGTAGCTAATTACAATGTATTACTTTGAAGTGTGGGTTTTGCTCATTGCTGAAGGCTTCACAGCTGTGATCAATAGTTGTTAACTTCTATGCCATTTTGCAGTAGTGGAGAGATACCACATCTTCTTTCTAAAAGCTTTTGCTTTTATTGTCATGATGTAAATGCCATTTTGTTAACAAACAATCACCTGAAATAGAGTGCACACCATTTTCATTCTATAGTTCTTTCAAGATCAAGTAAGAGTATAATTTTGCTTGAATTTGTATTGAAAATTAAGTTAATTCAGTTAAACATTCCCCAAAGACAATATTTAAATGGATTGTAATTTTTAATCACTTTACTTCGAATATTTTCCGCTTACAGTTATATAACAGACTTCATTTTCAGGCATAGTGATACTGGAAATTGTTTGTATTGTACAATGTATTATAACTCAAATGATTCAGCACCCTCTATCAGTCAGTGTTCTCTTAAAGTTGATGTTACGCGATCCATAGTGAGTAAAGGAAATATAACAAAAGAACAGATAAGTCGGGTTAGTTGTATTAACCCTATGCAAAACAATCTGTTTACCAGTTTTCTAATACTATTTGCCTCAAAACTTCTAAATACATTTTACTACACAATTTTTAAAGCGTGGTCAATTGTATGTATTTGGATTGTTTTGATCTGTTTGTCAATTTATTTACGTGTCAGTGAATGTTGTAACTTAACAGCATATACCAAATTACGGTTCTTGAATTCATTTTTGTGCCATATGAGCAAAGGAAAGATAGGTGCTGTGTTTAAGATCCAATCAAATATAAAAAGGTCCATTGATAGCAAATACCTATTTTACGATATTGCGCAGGTCACTGTTTTGTCAGTGCAGCATAAGAGCAAATTTATATTACGATACATTACTTAATCAAGTAAGGAGGATGATGCAATATAAGCAGCCTTTGAATTCATAAAAAGTGTTTATCTGTACAATGACACTGCTATGCAACGGTCAGTAGGTCTTACATGAGACTGAAAATGTTGCTGAGGTACATGGAGTCCAAATGAATCTCAGGACCCAAAAAATATGATACCATAACCAATGTGTCACTCACTGGAAGTGTTTTAACTTTGATAGTTCGGCTGACCGACTTAAAACCATAAAATAACTTGGAAAAATTATTAAGTATGAGATATATATAGATAGATAGATTTATAGCTAGCTAAACCTCTAACTTGTATGACAGACTTTGACAGTGGCATAAAATTCCATTGAATTGACAACAATGTGTGAAAAAAACAAACAGACATAATAATACTAAAATTAGCAAAGATCCATCGAAACAAACTTTTTTGATATTTGGATGTTATATTGGCTCTCAATAATGATGGCTTCAGTATGTGCACGAAAGAGATTTATCCTGCTGAACTGACTAAATAAAGCTAATACTAACAATGATCACTGCCTTTTCCTGGATCTTGACATCTATATCTTTAACGGGAAGCTTAATACCAAAATTTATGATAAAAGAGATGATTTTTTATTCCTATTGTTAATTATACATTTTTAGATGGTGATGTTCCCTTGTCACCGTCTTATGGTGTTTATTTATTTCAACATGTTCGATTTGCTTGTGTATGTAACAACGTATTTGATTTTAACAAAAGAAATCTCTATTACTGAAAATTATAACACCAGGGTTTTCGATATCACAAACTAGTAAAAACATTTACTAAATTTTATCATTGGTACAAGGACATTATTTTAAATGTAAATCAAGATGCAGACATCGTGTACGTTCAGGTATTTCACATCCAATCTTTTATGGAAATATTCTATACAAAGCACAAAAATGTCGGCATTAACCTCAAAAGCTATAACCAAACCTTTAAACAGACTTATTCAGAAGGGATATAGTTACAATATTGTTGTCAGGTCATTAAAGATGGCATATTTTGGTATTAATATTGATTCACTCATAGAGTCTTTGCATCGGAAATAAACACATTTATTCTAAAACCAGTTGTTGGCATGATACGGGTTATGTTCTTCTCATATATTTTATGATGGTATGATACTAAACCTCTAATGGCAGGGATTGTGCTTGATTTTCATATGAAGAAGACATAATCTTTCAATCAGTTTAATTGAAGTCTGGAGCTGGAATGTCAGTAACTGCAAGTAGTCCTTTGTTAATTTATGTATCATTGTCATTTTGCTTAGTTTCTTTTGTTACCTATTCTGACATTGGACTCTTGACTTCTTTTAAACTGAGTTTTACTGTACGTATTGCTGCGTGTTTGTTTATTCTACATTGGCTAGAGGTATAGGGGGAGGGTTGAGATCTCACAAAACATGTTTAACCCTGCCGCATTTTTGCACTTGTCCCAAGTCAGGAGCCTGTGGCCTTTGTTTCGTCGTTCTGTTCTTCCGTCTGTCCTGCTTCAGATTAAAGTTTTAGGTCATGGTAGTTTTTGATGAAGTTGGAAGTCCAATCAACTTGACACTTAGTACACATGTTCCCTATGCATGCTGTGATATGATCTTTCTAATTTTAATGCCAAATTAGAGTTTTTATCCCAATTTCACAGTCGACTGAAAATAGAAAATGATAGTGCGAGTGGGGCATCCGTGTACTATGGACACATTCTTGTTTCATTTTAGTTGGTTTATATATTTTGGAGTTAAGTATGATGTCAATTTTCACTGAACTAGTACACATTTTTGTGTAGGGGCCAGCTGAAGCTCGCCTCCGGGTGTGGGATTTTCTTGCTGTGTTGGAGACCCATTGGTGGCCTTTGGCTGTTTTCTGCTCTTTGGTCAGGTTGTTGTCTCTTTGACTCATCCCCCATTTCCATTCTCAATTTTATAAAAGGTAAAAATGTCAAAAATAGGGGTACAGCAGTCAACAATGTGTTATTATCTTAATCACTATAAAAACAAACAATATGTCAACAAAGAAAACAAAATGACCATATCTCAATAACACAATGGTTGGATGTATAAATACCTATAGTTACTTATATCTTTGTCATTTGAACTCTAATGGATATTTACCTTATCGACAATCATACCACATCTCTTTATTTTCGAATGTATCAAATCTAGTTCATATGCAATCAGCATAATCAAAGGATATTGATTATAGAATTTGAATTACAGGTAAAAAAAGCAAAAAAATTTGAAGGATTAGAACATCCAGAAAAGAAGAAGAAGAGGTTTAAAAGCTCAGAGTCCTCAACCGAAGAATCTCTTGAAGAATTTGAATCTAGTTCTTCATCTGGTATTTCTAGCCTATCTTCAGAACATGTGCTGGAAACATCTAAAGAACAACTACCAGAAATTCTAACAGATTTGAACAAAAGAGTTCTTGGACAGCATGCAGGGGAACTTTTACTAGACCTTCATGAATATGGTTTTGATGACCACACATCAAAACTTACTTTGCCTGGAATGATAGTTGATGGCACAAAGGTATACTGTAATTTTTTGTTAAAATAAAAAGAGGTAGAAGATACTAAAGGAACAATCTAAATTCATAGGTTGAAGAGAAACCAACAACACCATGGCAAAAAATTAAAACAACGTAAAGACATTCAACAGTCTACAAAATAAACTGCAGTGAAGGAGGACTATTTTGCTATCCACATTTTGAATTTTAGTCTGCATATTATACATGTTATACTAGTACTGTAAATTCAGAAATTAATATGTGCATTTATTTTTTCAAAACACTGATTACTGGTAAAAAAGTGAAATCTAATTAATGTGATTGCAAAACTTTGTGAAGGAATAACACTACTGAAATTATGAGTGCAACATTTAATTATTGCGAACCCTGTACTGTTGCACTTTTCACATTAATAAAAACACTGCAATAATTTCTGAATTTACAGTATATGTTGTATTTAAAAGTGGAAGAAAAATTGTTTAGATGACACAGGGTCCTGTAAAAGTTATAAATTTTACTTATCAGGGTACTTGATTGTGATTTAATAGTACACAATGGTATATGTTCCATCAATAAATATGAAGTCATGTCATTCATGTCTTTTACTTTTTTGACTGAGTTTGAGGAAGTCCAAAACCATGGTTTAAAGTATTTTGATATCAAAGTGGGTACCTTATTTTTGAATTTAACTCCTACAGTTTTCAACCTATATCACTGAAACTTCACAAAAAGATTGCACACATGTAGAAGTTGTGCAACTGCTATTATGGAATTGTTTGAGTAATTTTATCTATTTTTTCCAAATTGGGAACTGTGGATTCATATAGTAAGTCTTACCATGTTTACTGTGGGAACTTTCTCATTTTTCATTAAAATTTACAAAAAACAACCATTTTGTGTAATAAGCTCCTCCTACAGCTTTTAATCAGATCTTTGAACCTTTGCAGAATTATTGCATATGTATTGCTATTATGGAATTGTTTGAATATTTCATGTATTTTTTTACAATTTTTCCAGACTTGAAGACTTACAGCAAATATTTTATGAAGATGGTTACATTTTTTTGGTTTTAATTTAGATCTTTTCAACTATTTCTAAAAATAAAAGTAACACTCAATAGTTTGGGTTTTTTTTTTGTCTCGCCTGCATCCAAAGTAACTTAAGGCAAGACATAGGTGTCAGTGTCAACAATTGTTCAGTTTTCTGCTTAAGTTAGTAAGATAGGAACTACTTGTGAAAGATCAATGATATTTTGTATAAAGGTGCATAACTATCAGTAAATATCAGTTTGATGACTATTCCAATGCCCTAGGGGGTGTTCCAGTGACTGAATTTATTAGCAATTTTCAATGTGAAGTTTTCTGATTAAGTTAGTTTGATAGAAAAAACTTGTGATAGAACAATGATATTTTCTTTAAAGTTATTTTACTATCAGTTTATATCAGTCGGACGACTATTTTAAGGCCCTGCCCCCTAGTTTATGGTCCAGTGACTTCCAATTAATAGGCAATTTTCAATGCTAAGTTTTCCGTTTAAGTTAATTAGTTTGATAGGAACATCTTGTGATAGAATAATGATATTTTCTAAAAAGTTGTTTTACTATCAGTACATATCAGTTTGATGACTATTTTGAGGCCTTGCCCCCTAAGTCATAGTCTAGTGACTTTAAATTAATTAGCAATTTTTGATGTTAAGTTTTCTGCTCAAGATAGTATGATAGGAACTACTTACAATAGACATTGCTTTTTTCAATAAAGTTACATTACTATCTGTACATCTCAATTTGTGGACCATTTCGAAGCACTGGTTCATGGTCCGGGGACTTGAATTAAATAGCAATGTTGTTGTCCATTAGATTGTCTTTTTTTTAGAATTTCATGCCTACAGGCGATACATATCTCTGTGTCAACAGTTTATTTTAGTACTCAACAGGATATGGAATTGTAATCTTAAAATCTACTGTACAAGATAAAAATAGTATTGTTAGATTCAATACCTTTCCCTTATGCTGCTCAGTAATTTTGATTTTTGGTTTCTTTGTTGCAAAAACACTTGGAATGAAAGGGCAAATATACTGCTACCGAGCTCAAAATTTACAATTGACAATTGATTGACCTAATATATTTTTGCTTAAATCATATATACCAAATATGACAGTTGTCAACAACATATAAATTCGGAATTTCCTTTTGGGCAATAACTTATTGTATACATATTTTTTATGAGTTTTTGTCGAGCCTGCGACTTTTGTCGCAGAAAGCTCGACAGGTAGAAGATCTGGATGCTTCATACTTTGTATATAAATGCCTCATGTTACGAAGTTTCCGTCAGTCACATGTCCAATGTCCTTGACCTCAGACAGTTTTCACTTGACCTCGACCTCATTTCATGGATCAGTGAACAAGGTTAAGTTTTGGTGGTCAAGTCCATATCTCAGATACTATAAGCAATAGGTCTACTATATTTGGTGTATGGAATGATTGTAAGGTGTACATGTCTAGCTGGCAGGTGTCATCTGACCTTGACCTCATTTTCATGGTTCAGTGGTCAAAGTTAAGTTTTTGTGTTTTGGTCTTTTTTTCTAATACTATATGCAATAGTTCAACTATATTTGGTGTATGGAAATATTTAATGATCTATATGTCAGTCACGCAGGTTTTATTCGACTTTGACCTCATTTTCAGGGTTCATTGCTTAGTGTTAAGTTTCTGTGTTTTGGTCTGTTTTTCTTAAACTATAAGCAATAGGTCAACTATATTTGTTGTATGGAAGAATTGTTAGCTGTACATGCCTGCCTAGCATGGTTCATCTGACCTTGACCTCATTTTCATGGTTCATTGGTCAATGTTTAGTTTACTTGGTTAATGTTACGTTTATGTGACAGGTGTAATAAAGCTTTATATTTAGGACTATCAACATAATATCACAGATCTTCAACCTTCAAGTATTTACATATTAATCAGACTTGTACTGGAATTTTTGTTTTATATAGTTTTTTTTTTAATTTTAATTTGTTGCCATTTTCCCATTTTATATTTCCATATATTTCGTTAAATGTTTGGTTAAGGCCATTGTTCATTGTTTAAGAAACATTTTCCACAACCCGTCCATTTAAATTTTTTATCTATTTTTCTTGTGTGTTTCAGGTCTACTTTACATTATTGGAAATGACAAAGACTCATCATGAAAAGCTTTGTAAGAATCTTGAACTTGATGAAACAGACATAGCAACAATTTATTATGCTAGACCATTGGATATCTTAAGTCAGGAAAGTCGAAACATCCTGATAGAAAATTTTGTTAGACTTAACAACATTTATTAGTCTTATGGTGTCAAATCAGGTACAATTTTAATTTGATGTGATCTGAACATTTTCCTTTTGGTATCCTCATTACACTGTCAGCAATCTGCCAAGGTGATGAAAACATGTAAGCTCTTTTTCTTATATGAATATTAGGAAATCTTAATATTTAAAGATAATTTTGTTAATTTTTGTTGAAGGTTTACATGTTAATAATACGTTTGATTCATATGATTTCCATTACAAGAAAAATTCTATTACTTTACACTGATTTCTGATGTCATTTAAATGTTTAATGGGTTTACTGGGTCCCTATATTTTTATATGACCGCAAACAAATTGGGTTCGAATAATGCTATGATGTCGTCTGCGTCATCGTCGTCCGAAGACATATTTGGTTTCCGGACAATAACTTTAGTTAAAGTGAATGCATCTCTATTAATTTTACAAGAAGGTTCAATACCACAAAAGGAAGGTTGGGATTGATTTTGGGGGTTATGGTACCAACCATTTAGGAATGAGGGGCAAAAAATAAGCATTTTTGTAGTTTCTGGACAATTACTTGTCTGTAAGTTCATGGATCTCTCTGACATTGTACCACTATGTTCCATATCACAAAGGGAAGACTGGGATTGAGTTTTGGGGGTTATTGCCCCAAACATGCAGGAATTAGGAGTAAAAAAGGGGCCAAAACAAGCATTTTTCTAGTTTCCAGACAATAACTTGTGTTTAAGTGTACTGATCTCTCTAAAATTGTACTCCAAGGTTCCATACTACAAAGGGAAGGCTGGGATTGAGTTTTGGGGTAATTGCTTCAAGGGGGGTCAAAAAGTTGGGGGGAGGGGAATTTTTTTTTTCCAATTTAAATTGTTTTTGAAGTTTCAAGAAGAAATCTTCAATTGCACAGTATTGGGCAATATATTTTAAGATTTTTGACCACATTTATTTTGTCTCAGAAACCTTTATTATGTCAAAAATTTTATCACAATCCAAATTCAGACAGTATCAAGCTTGAAAAGTGTGTCCAAATTTGCCCCAACTGTTCAGGGTTCGACCTCTGCAGTCGTATAAGGCTGCACTCAGCGAAACATTTTATTGAACTGATAAAGTAATTGTGACTGCTTGACATTTTTCAAACACATGTCTTCTTATGTACACAATTCAACCCTACCTAAAGAAATATATTGATTTGATCATTTAACACATTTGTCCAAGCATTCATATGAATATATTGATGTAGATTTTATGCCCATCAAATGTACAAATGAATTTTTGATGTAAAATAACTTCGCCTAACCCAAACTCTTTGATGGAAAAGATCATGATAGAATTCAAACGTAGTACAATGCACAGAAAAATGACAATTTTTATGCCCCCGCCCTAGTGGAGAGGAATTAAGTTTTACCCTTGCCTGTCTGTTCGTCCGTACGTCCCAAAATTGGTTTCAGTTCACTAATTTTAATTTGCCTCAACCAAATGTTATGAAACTTATACACAATGCTTATCACCACAAAAGACAGATCAAATTTTGAATTTTGGTGGTGTCACTTTTCCCAGTCTAGAGTTATGCCCCTTTACAAATGGAAAAACTGCTAAACTGTTTGTTTTTGTTCTCTAACTTTAGTTTGCCTCAACTAAATGTTATTAACCTTATACATAATGCTTATTACCACAAAACAAAGATCAGGTTTGAATTTTTGTGGCGTCACCTTTACCGTTCTAGAGTTATGCCCCTTTACAAATGGAAAAATGGCTGAATTTTTCTTTTCCTTTTCTAACTTTAGTTTGCCTGAACCAAATGGTATGAAACTTATACACGATGCTAATTACAACAAAACACAGATCAAGTTTGAATTTTGATAGTGTCACTTTTAATATTCTGGAGTTATGCCCCTTTACAAATGCAAATATTGATGAATTTTTCGTTTCCTTTTTCTAATTATAGTTTGCCTCAACCAAATGTTATGAAACTTATACACAATGGTAATTATCACAAAACTCAGATCAAGTACAAATTTGGGTAGTGTCATTTTTACTGTTCTTGAGTTATATCCCTTTATTATGTAATATACAAGCAGGGGCATCATCTGTGTCCCATGGACACATTCCCCATTTATTGTAATGCATGGGGGGGTTTGGGACACGGAAATACCGGGCGTCCGTGTGTCCGTCTGTCAGGTCTTATTAGCGCTCTCACGGGTACAGTTCTTGCCATATTTTTTATAAAACTTATACTATAGGTTAATATCAGTAATATCACGGACAAGTTCTAAAATGGTGGACGATCGACTTTTTTTAAAAGAGTTATGTCTTTTGGAAATATTAAATTTATGGAAAATGGCCTCGTTAGCGCTCTCACATGTACAATTCTTGCCAGATTTTTATAAAAAAACTTATACTATAGGTTAATATCAGCAGTATCTTGGACAAATTCTAAAACTGTGGACGATCGACTTTTTTGAAAGAGTTATGTCCCTTGGAACTATTAAATTTATGGAAAATGGCCTCGTTAGCGCTAGCATGAGTACAATTCTTGCCAGATTTTATAAAACTTGTACTATAGGTTAATATCAGTAATATCTAGTACAAGTTCTTTAATGGTGGACGATCAACTATTTTTAAAAGAGTTATACCCGTTGGAAATATTAAATAAGTGCAACACGGGGGACATTGGAACTCTGTTCTTTTATTTTTTTTAATTAATATCTTAGAACTTTACCATACAAAACTCTTGCAAATTAAAACCATTAATGGAGTAGATCTGAGCAAAAACAAATGAAGGAGAATGATAATTTGTCAAGACATATATAGGAAAGTATTATATTATGGAAAACTATTTAAGATTTCTCTCGGACAAAAAATTTAGTGGTAGATTGTCATAGAATCTATTTCATATATTTTTCACTGATATTGCATCATATAATTTTTTACAGATGAATATTGTTTTTAGCTCACCGTTCCAGCAAAAATGCAGCAAAGTAAGATCTACAAATAAGTTTTTATGACCAAAATTGTCAATTGACCCCTTAAGGAGTTATTGCCCTTTAAGGACAATTTTACACAATTTGTTTATCATGTTTTCTAACTTTAAAAAATCTTCTCCTCTGAAACTACGGAACCAAATTAAATCAAATTTAAGCTGAATGATTCTTAGGTTATCTAGAATAAAGTTTTTGTTTTATTTTCTGTTTTCTCAGAAAACATGGCCACCATTGCTAAAAATAGAACATAGGGTAAAATGCAGTTTTTGACTTATATCTCAAAAACTAAAGCATTTAGAGCAAATCAGACAAGAAGTTAAAGTATTCATTAGGTCAAGGTCTACCTGCCCTGAAATTATCAGCCAAATCGGGTATCTGATTTTTAGGTTATTGCCCCTGAATTGATGATTTTAAGGAAATTTTGCAGTTTTCTGTTATTAATTTGAATATTATTATAGATAAAGATAAACTGTAAACAACAAAAATGTTCAACAAAGTAAGATCTACAAATAAGTTTTTTATGACCAAAATTGTCAATTGACCCCTTAAGGAGTTATTGTCCTTTAAAGACAATGTTTCACAATTTGTTCGTCTAATCTAGTTTGCTTACTTTAAAAAATCTACTCCTTTGAAACTGCTGAATCAATTTCAGCCAAACTTGGGCTGAATGAGTTTCAGAGATTATCTTGTATAAATTTTGTATTTTATTTCCCTGTACTCCAAGAAACATAGCCACTATGGCTAAAATGGAACATAGGGGTAAAATTCATTTTTTTGCTTTTGAAGAAAATACGACAGATACAAAGAACATTTAAATGGCATTTTTAAGGATGTTTGCTACTCTATTTCAAAATAACAAGCTTTTTTAAAGATTGTTATAAATTGATAGTATATAAATAAAGGAACTAAATAAGCAGAAAAAATTGTAGGGTCAGTGTGCTTGTTTTCAAGATATGATCCATTCAAAATTTGGCGGGAAATAATTCTCTCTAGATTTTTCATACATTTAACATTTGCACCTTTTTTCTTTCAAAAACTATGAAAAAATAACAAGGATTTTATAAGATTTTAAAAAATGACATTTTAAACTATATGAAATCGTATTATGGAGAGAAAAGTAGGGCTTAATGGTCAAAATTTTTAATGGGTACTAGATGGATAAAACCAGAGGATTTCGAATATCTGACAAAAATTCAAAAACAAGAGGAGCGAACATCCTTAAGCCACTCATTAATATATATTGAAAAGAAAAAATAATCATTGATGAAATATTTAAGCAAAAAATTACAGGTGAGCGATTCAGGCTCTTGAGAGCCTCTTGTTTAATTCAACATGTTTTCAAATGAATTGTTAATAGCATATATATATATATATATATATTTATAAATTAAGGCAGCATATTTAACACTTAGGCACTTTATTTTGTGTAAACTATTTTTTTGCCCTATGTATTTGAAGGCTTTGTACAATTATGTGTCATTTTTTAGTCTAGATAATAGTAGAAGGCTTTTAATTATCATTATTATGAATTGATTGCAATACTGATAAAAAAAAATTTCTATCATGACAGATTCTATAAGCAAAGTAATCAGCTAAAAAACTGAAAAAGATTTTTCTCCATTTAAAATTTTTTTTAAGATATATATATTTATTGTCCCCCACGCACGCTTTTGAGGGGGACATAGAAATACCGGGCGTCTGTCCTTGCATCCATGTGTCCGTCCATTTGGTCTTGTTAGCGCTCTCACAGGTACATTTCTAGCAAGATTTTTAGAGATCTTATACTTTAGGTTAATATCAGCAATATATCGGACAAGTTCTAATAGTGTGCATCAAATTAACGTCGATGGTAATGTGAAAAGGTAAAAAGTTTCAGCTGAAACCCCAAAAACCGATACATTCTTTTCTGTTCTTTGATTGGTTTGTTGTCTCTTTGACACATTCCCCATTTCCATTGATCAACTTTTTTTAAAAAAGAGTTATGCCCCTTGGAAATATTGAATTTATGGAAAATGGCCTCGTTAGCGCTCTCATGGGTACAATTCTTGCAAGATTTTTATTAAAAATTATACTATAGGTTAATATCAGCAATATCTCAGACAAGTTCTATAATGGTGGTCGGTTGACATTTTTTAAAAGAGTTGTGTCCCTTGGAAAAATTGATTATAACAGAGGTCACATTGCATTTGCTCTGAAGCCTTCAGTTCTCTAAGATATTTATAAATTGTTTTAAAGAACAAAAAAAAGTGTTTTATTTAGTTATTGATAAAATATGTGCAACGCGGGGGACATTGGAACTCTGTTCATTTATTTATTTTTCTAAACTTAAATGGAGCAAATATTTCTTATTTAAGTATATCAACAGATCAATGTGAACTTTTAATAATGTTTTTTATAGGATTTTGATATTTTGCACTTGACTGAACATTGACACATCTTCTTCTTTTGGATATTATCATCGATGTAGATAGTATTTTTTCCCTCCTGATTGGATTGTAAACAAAATATGGTTTTGCATTTGAAACAGTCAGACAAGAGCTGAAAAATTATAAAAATGACTTACCACTTGTCATGCATTTAAACCTTAGAATAAAAAAAAATGTCGGAAAACTTCTGGTTAATTTGAATCTAAAAGCTGAATTTGACGATTTCTTTAAATTTCTGATTGTACTAAACTTTCATTCTGACATGTGCATAAGCAGCCTATTATTTAGTCTACAGAGTTAAAGGTTAAGGGGATATGTTTTTTTTTAACAATATTGATGACAGTTATTTATACTCACCTTTACGAATTTGGAATTCACA